AGAAGGCAAAATGCAAACTTCACATACCTGAGTTTGAACTCCAGGTGTGCATTTTAGAAGACACATGACTTGACAAGTTATTTAATCTCTCTCAGTTTGGGGTTTTCTCACCTGTAAAATGGGGTTATTGTGCCTTCTTCTTAGGATAACGACTAAATGACACAATGATAAAAAGTACTTAGCTTAGTGCTCAGTACATAGTAACCGGAAGAGAAATGTCAGTCATTAATATGATTATTGTTACATCTTAACAGATTTCCCTGTAATTCATTAACCATGGAATTGTCTCTCATTTTCCAGATGATTTTCTTTCTGTTACTCCCACCAACCTTCACAGAATATTATGCAAACTCTGATAGAAAAATAGTAAAATGATCCTGCCCTCATTTTCAAGTCCCGCCTAACTGAAAGACAAGCATTTATAAATCTCCATGTCACTGTTCTAGGTAGAGTTAGACGGGGGCAAAGGGTAGTCTGAGTAAAAGAAAACCCTGCCTTCAAGAATTGCATCATCTCGTTTGGGAACAAAGAGAAAACGGCACTAATTTCTCCTAAGTTAGCTGCAAAAGTTAGGCTGTAATCCACATTGCAATGACAAGTAATTCCCAAAGAAATGTATACTCCATTGCCAAAACTGCCACAGAAACATATCTGGTGTTTTTAGATGTCTTTGAATTAAATGTCCAGTGCTTTTTAAGAAATGAATCATTGAGAACTACAAAGGCAGCAAAAAGTGGATCTCACATAGGTTGGAGTTTAAAGTAAATCATTTTGGGTTGTGTACACATATTAACAGATGAATGAATGATACAAGCATGAGATGCTAAAATGCCGATGGTGGGGGAAAATAATAAAAGATTTTCTTGTCCATATCTAGTGAAGTAGTACTCACTAAAGTGAATGAGTAAAGTAAGTCTGCCTCAGAAATAGTGGAAAGATTTTTTTCCCAAAACAAAAGTTTTATTTTTTCTCATTACAAAAGTACTATATGTTCAATGCTAAAAAGAAAAAAAAGAGGGGGGGAGGGAGAACATAAAAAACCGTAACAAGGAAAAGTCACACATAATCACCCTCTCTAGAGATAATAAATTCTGATGTTTCTCCTTTCAGACTTTAAGCATATCTTATATTAATTACAACTTCTTTTTCAAAAATGGGATACCTCGGATGTAGTTTGATATTTTTCTCCCACTCTTCTATATATGACATTCATCTTACCATTTAACATGAAACCTCCAAATCGAAGTCACAGTGCGTTTTCTGCAGGTTTATTACCTAACACTATCACAACATCAAAAAGGGAAATTCAAGACCCAAAACTTGGGTTAGAAGATCCCTGGTCTTTTACTGCTATCATATCTCATGCCACTGCTCTGCCTAGACCAGATAGGGAGCAGGAGAGGTTCTCAGCAGACGGGGCTTCCCGGGCGGTGGGCAAAGTTTACCTAGCAAGCCTAACCGACTTGAGACAAGAACGAGTCTGCTAGAATCATACGCATGCTAAAGACTGCACACCCATATATCTAAGACTGATAAAGCACCACTGCCTTTCAGAGGCATGGAGAGAAGAGGCAATCTCCAGGGGAGAGTTTAAAGCAGAGCCCCTTGGCTCACAGTCATCCAGAACAGCATCCTCTTCTGTCCCTGCATTCCGGACTCAGAAACTGCTCTGGGTTGGTAATTTAGCTCTTCTGTTCACCATGTCATTTTCCCAAAGCAGAGATTTATCACCCTGCTTAAACAGACTATTAATCTGCATAATTTCTCACAATATTTAAGGCATATAAAAGCTGCTGTGCTGATGGAAGAAAGAGTTCCTCGAAAGATAAATTATATCCACTACACAATTTTGCTTAAGAAATGTGGCATAAAGGAATAAAGACTATACCACCATGCAGTTTTGATGTGTGAACTTAGAGAGCAGAATTAGTATGCTGATTAACTGTCCCAGCTGCAGGAAAAAAAAAAAAAAAAAAAAAGATGGCTGGCAGGGAAAAACAGCAATGAATTTTCTACTGTTCTGGGCAAGGAAAGAATAAAGCTAAAGAATTTCATCTTTCCTTAACCAAAATGCACTGTAAGTATAAAAAAGTTACTCAAATGTGCAGAAAATACCTTAAAACAAAAACGTCACAGGTATATATGCTTGTGAATTCTGAACCTGATGAAGTCCAATATGACCTAAGCTGCTGTTAGCACTGTACACGTAGTCTCAGGCAGAGAGGACAGAACATGTAGGCTGGGGAGCAAATATATAGGCTGAGCCAGAGGCCAAACTGGAGACACAGTGGCCTCGACAGTATGAGAGACTTCTACCATTTGAACAGAACAGCCTGCGCAGTAGCAGCCAACCTCTGGGACACAGCAGCAAACCGGCGGGCAGACCTGGGGAGGGCTGATGCAAACTTTAAAAAGCGAAAGATGCACTGACAGAAAAACTGAGTTTATTTAATCTTCATTGGTAAATTATTAGTATTCTAAAATTTCCTGAGCCACATAATAAAAACTAAGATTACATGATATACATAAAGATCTATGTACATGCATCAAGAGAGAATGTGGAAAAAGAAAAGAAAAATATAAGACCTAAAACTCTAAGGGAAGCACTGTCAGAGATTGTTAAGAGGATTCTCTTCTAGTTCTGAATAAGGCTCTAAAAGGACAGATAAGAGGGGCATGGAAAGATAGAGAATAGAACCACAACTCCTGTGACATCACCTGGAGATGAACAATTTCATCTCTAATTATATTTCAGGTCCTTCATAAATGCTACCAGTGAAACTGTCCAAATATGAAAGATATCAAGAAGGTAGGTTAGTCTTAAAGATGTTTAGGTGAGACAATAACCACTGCTCAGCAATCCCCTTCAATTTGAGCTGAAGCTTCAAATCCCATTGGGATGATTCATCTACCAATACTTACCGAGTGACTATCCTATGTAAAGCACTGTTTAAAATGCAGACAAACAGAAGATTCAGTCCTTGCCTTCATGTCTACAGAGCAAAATGGTAAGAATATCAATATTTACAACCATGGGATAAATGTCTCACATACAGTGATGCTCAAGAAATTCAGAGTGGACAAATCAATATTATAAAAGAAGCATACACAAAAACCAGGAGACCTTCCCAAAGGATATTTATCCCTTTGCCATAACACAAATGGGCATGAAAGTTTACTGTTTTGTATACCTGTACATAGAAACCACCCCTAAAAGAATAAACAACTAGTAAGTGCCATAACAGATAGTAGCTATCAAGATTATATCACAAAAAGAGGAGACAGAACGGCAGTCAGAAAAAAAAATAATAATAATCACTCATTTTATGTAAAAGAGTATTTTAATTCTTGTCCTTGGGAACTATAAGGATTATACATGATTTGGAAATGAGACTGTACCAAGTGATGGCCAAAGAAGAGTCATCCATTCTACTCCTTCTCTTTTGTCTGGTCACTCAGAAATATAATATTATCTGTAAAAAAGCCAAAGTGTAAATATTACTTTCAGAACTCTTTTCCCCTCTCATTCAGTAATTTTCCTTTAATACATACATGCTTGAATGCTGTTCATTAAAAGGATTTTAGACAAATTTTCAAAATATTAAGTAACTTGGTAAGTTCATGAGAGGTGTGTGTGTGTGTGTGTGTGTGTGTGTGTGTGTGTGTGTGTGTGTG